GTGTGTGTATGTATATGTGTATATATATGTGTTGTATATAAGATGAAGAAGAAAGAAGGAAGTGAGATTAACGTGTGGGTGAGGAGGAAGAATATATGAGGTGATGAGCTGGAAATAAAGTTTGGTTTTTTTCTCTTCTTTTGTCCAATGCATATATGGTAAGAGAATGCGGCTATTTTATGGGCGGTTTTTGAATTCACAAAGAAATTTCCACTTCTTTGACTACAATCATTTTTTATTTATTTATTTGAATATTGAAATTTTTGTTAGTGTAAATTATGGCTAGCTGAGTTAAAGTTAAATTATGAAAAAATCTCTTATGTTTTAGTAATTACAATTATCTCCTCGATTATGAATTTTCTACACGTCCGTTTTTATAGTGTCGAATTCAGCATAATCTTTTATATTCCGTGGAATATTCTCTTGTTTCTAGTCGTAGTGTGCAAAAATGCAGTTTCTGATGCACCAAATGCTGTTATTTACAAGCCAAGACACACATTGTTTCAAAAATGTGGAGCTCGAGTGGGGTAAAACAAATACAAATTGGAGAATATTCCACTAAATTTGACATCGCAATGGAGAACGTGTAAGATGATTTATGTTAAGGGGTGGTTATAATTACTCAAGTTTTTTCGTAATTTGATCTTACCTCCTGAGTGGTTGTTATTTACCTATTTAAGATACTACTTCAACACACTAGTCATTAACTCATTATGTTCGTATATTAAATATATGAAAAAAAAATATAACTACCCAAAAACATACTCCATCCGTTCCTAAATAATTGTCACTTTTCACTTTTCACAAAGATTAAGAACTTCAATAAATATATCTCAATTTAGAAAAATCATATAAAAATGACTAAAACAACCCTTATTATTTAATAATTTATAAGAGAAAATTAATAATTAGATTTTCATTAATAAGGTTAAAACAGGAAAAATGCATTTATTGCAACATTGGAATCTAAAATGACAGATAATATGGAACAAAAATATTTTAAATAAGAGACAGTTATTGTGGAACAGACCGAGTATTTAACAATATTATTTTTACCTTTTATTTTATTCAATTCGCACATGAAAATAAACAAGTAATAAATTGGCTTTGTACTTGTAATGCCCGCCATACATTTTCAACCCCATTTCGGCGGTCAATTCACGTGGAATAGTTGACTGTCCAATAGTGACACGCGGCAGACGGGGACTGGTCGGGCTGGCTGCTGACCATGCACGTTAATTTGTGGGACCCTGATAGAGCGAATAAGTCCGGGCAGAATTAAACCGGTCAATTACAAAAACCCCTTCTTTTATAGAAATTGCGTCCAACCCCCTGCAGTTTGTAAATTTCTCACATCCACTCCTACGAAAGGATAAAAATGTAAAGAATCTAAAAAATGCAAGGGGTGTATGTAATTATGAAAATATGAGGGGTTTGTTTTGTAAATCGACCTTAAATCAGGGGTGATTGTAAATTTGTAATTTACCCTTGTGGTAATAGACTAATATCATCAGAAAAGTGGGCCAATAATTTGGAAGACCATTTACATTGGGCCAATAATGCTTCATTTAAATACGTGGCACTCAATTATTTCCTAGTTATTGGGCCATAATTACATACAGCCCAACACTAGGTCCAATGTTTATCTGAAAAAAGAAAATAGAGGAAATTGCAAGTATCTATCATATAGCTATAGAATTTAATTTATTTATATATATTTATAAAAATAAAATAGTATAATATGTGTGTTGATCACATTAGTCTAAAATAGTATTCATCGACTATAAAATAGAACATGCAAAAATTATGGAATTTATGATATGAACAAATGTGTCAAATCTGAATTTAATCAATTTATAAAGACTTTGGATACTCTCATAAGTATTTGTACTGTATATTGAGATGAAGCATATTAACCACATTTATTTGACCCACCAAAATGTTTCCATCAAATCAAAGCATAGTACACTAGAAATTTAGACAACACCTTCTAGGGTCGTTTTCGGGTCGGTTGCCAATCATTACCCGATTTACAATAATCTGGTCGAGAATTAGTTTTGTATATTTGCAAGAGTCGGTTAGTCGGGTGGGACCAATAATCGGTCGATAATCAATTTACCAGACTCATGAACAACCCTAAACACCTTTGGTAACGAACAAAATTTTAGGTTTCTCACATAAAAAGGGCAATATTGGGATTTTGCCTTGGATTTTTCCAAGAATTGAATTATAGGATCCTATTTACTATTTACATATAGAGAGAAATCAAATTGCAAAACGACTTTGTACCGTAATTTAAAGCATGTCGTACATCGTTTTGTCTTGTCAATAGTTTCTATTCGTCATTCTCTACTTGGATATTTTAATTCCATCTTATCCAAATTACGTGTCTATCAATTTTATTATTCTAATTGAAAAAGAAAAAAAAATACTAGAAAATATCTATTATTGCCTCATTTTCTGAAAATATTGAAAAATAAAATGATTGGATATATTTAGGGTTCAATGTTGGTGGTGGATCATGAAAATTGAAGAGCGAATTTAATTTTGTATGGCATAACAAATTAAGCAAATTTGTTTAAGTATTTCAATGGGCTTGTAAAAGCTTTTAGAAAAATATAAACAAGTGATTATAAATTAAGTTAATGATAAGTGTTTTTACACAAGTTAGGGGTCGAGTTTTTTCAAACTCCATGAAAAAATAATTCTCAGCAATTTATTTTAAGAGAAGTTGGTCGATGGGTGTCAGAATCACTTTGAAAAAACTTTCACAAACACCCCTTTAATTTTAAATAGATAATGAGCTATTTACAACACCAATATTACACCTGCAACTTAATTAATCAGAGTTCGAGAAAAAATTCTTCAAAGAAAACCCCTTGTGAGTTTAAAAATCGAGTTACTAAAAATCTATATATTTTAAAACACGAATAATCACCAAACAAGTCAAACATAGACGTGTAACACTTGAAAAAAATGAAAGTTTAAAAAAAGTAAACCAATTATTTCATACCAAAGTTAAATATGCAAAAAAAAGAAAAATTATATGATTGCAATTTATGTCAAATGTATGATGCAAAGAAGGCAAAGGCGAGTAATTGGACATGATTTGGTCCAAGGCATGCCCATGGCTCATGCCCTACCCAACTTATGCTGCCCTAAACTTTCATCATTCTCAACCTTTGCTCCATTCTTTATTTCTATATATATATATATATATATATATATATATATATATATATATATATATATATATATATGAGCACTATACTTCTTCATGATTCATTTTCAAGAATATTGGAAAAAATGTATTTTCTATCTTAAACACTTCGATTCGTATACAGTAGAACCTCGATAAATTAATAACCTCGTTTAAATAATAATTTCTTCAGGTCCCGATTCGGTAAGAATATACCAAAATTATCAGTCTGATAATTTAATATTTCGTTAAATTAATAGAATTTTGACAGTAACAACTGTATTAATTTATAGATGTTTAACTGTATATCACACCATAGTTCTAACTTCACTGGTTGTAGTATAAAGCTCATATGTGAGCACATTGGTGCATTTGTTGATTGCTGATTATATCTTCGAATTGGGGTTTTTGTTTATTTTCTAATAAAAAAGTGTAATTTTAATATTATGAATCAAAAAATACCAAATTTTCAGCTGTAGTGCAATAAAATTGGTGTAACCCTACTAACCAACATAAGCAGTAGAAAAAAGTGACACAAAATAGAGGAAACTTATCTTTTTCAGAATATAAAGTACTGGGAAATGTCAATACCCTAGATCTCACTGTCTCATTATCTTATACCAAATTTATTAATTTTCCCACATTTTGCATTTTTTTATTATTTTATATAATATATGTATACACACTAATAATCAACTAAAAAAGCTTGAGTGATTGCCTTTTAATTTATTTGCAATAAAAAACAAAATTAACAATTAAAGAAGATCACATTGTTGGGATCAAGCAAGCATAAAAGGGACTCTTGATTATTGATTGACTAGTTATCGGGTCCAATTTACGGGTAAACCTCTATAAATTAATGCAGTCGGGACCAAACAAATTCTATTAATTTAGCGAAATATTAATTCATCGGAATATTTTCTTAACACATTTTCCTCAAGTTGGGACTTGAAAAAAATATTATTTAAACGAGCTTCTACTGAATATATTTATTTATCAAATTTTTTTTTTTTTGAGAAATTACATGTAATTATTGAGTTAAATAAATGAATTTATGGTAAAAATAGAAATATTTTGAGTTTACTTAGTTTTCTCTTTCTAACAGAGCCCATTTTGCTGGCTCATTATAATCATTTCGTGGGCCTTTTGTGTCGGAAAACAAATTAAAGTTGAGCTTGTTTGGAATTTTCTTTTTGAGAAAAGCCCATTTTGGAGGAAAATAAATTAAATAAAAAAAAATAATTAATTTAAAACATATTTTACTTGAAAAATTAAATTACACCAGCGATTTATTATTAAAATACATAACAATTTCTTTTTTTTGATGTGCATGTATATTTAGTGCATATTTTATAGATCTACGGTTTAAAATTAGATGACGTATTTCATCGAGTGTAGTGTCCACTG